GTCTAACCTAACCTAACCTATCTCAGCTATTTCTTATCGACTTTCATAGCGCCTTGTGTCCTCTTACTCTTTCTAATATCTCCTCACTTCTAACCTTCTCTATTCACGGTATCCTCATCATTCGCCTGTAACACCACATTTCAAACGCTTCTAACTTTTTGTTTTGCGTCGCGACACCGTCCTTGTTTTGCACTCCGTATAGAGGTAGACTTAATCATTAAATTTAGAGTAAGGTATTTTCGCGACATCTCCATTGAAAATGTCCGAAGCAGATTTGGACGATACGTTTGGAAGATCTCAAAATTACCCTGGACCACGGCTCGTCAGCCAGGAAAATTCTCATTAAGTAGACTCCGGTAGTGAAACCCTTCCTTCCTTTTACATTACGTACGAATTGATCAAATTGTAAAATTTTTATGATTGTGAAATGTCCACTTTCGTACTTATTGTGGAAAATGATGTATGCAAGGTGCATGTTGCTGTCAGAATTAAACAAGTGCATGACGTTACCTGTTACGTACTACTACTACCACAGTAGTCAACTAACGATCGAAGTGGTCGATGTATTTTCTAATGGAATTTGTTTTTCACTTGTGCGAACGGTACCTATCTGAGCTTAAATCTATTAGAATCGTAGTGAAGTAAAAAGCAGCCGCGTCTTTTTTCATTGCACTATTGGTTCGTCCACAGTAATTAAACCAGTTTAAATTATTTATAGGTGAAAAGTAGAATTAGTTCATAAGCTGTACAAAAAGTTAAAAGGCGTTAAATGTGCACCTTTCGCAGGCGCTCTTCCGTGACCACAACGGCTATTTATAATTAAATCCCTCTTCTCTATAAGATGCGCTTGCTTTCTCGCTACAAGCACATAAGTAATTTCCGACCTTTTTTCTAAACGCACAAACGTGCGAATTTTTGGCGACACAATGCGCGACGTGATGCGATTACCTGAACGTTTTTTTTTTATTTCGTTGTCTAGTCGAATACGACGTCTTTTAGTAATGCATTTAATTATAATGTCTAAAAGTGACGGTTTGTTTATAAGGCAACGCATAACATTTATTCAAATGAAATTATTGATAAAATTTTTTAATATGTATTATTTATTTTACTTAAAATTGAAAGAAAAGTCAACCGACGCTACAAATTGTCTTGGTTTTATATTAAGTTCTACTTTCTATCACGGCTATGTGGGCCAATTACTGTTTTGTTTTTCTTATTTTGTTGGCCTACGCTTTAGGGCACGCTAATTGCCTTCCTTTGCGCAAAATGCTTTAAATAGGCAACGCGTATCTGAATAGAACGTATTTTACTCCCTAGTAGAGTCCTATTAAGTGAAAATTATAAAATTTTCTAATCTAGGTAACTGGTCAGCGGACACAAAAAATCCTATTACAGCCCTTTGAAGTATTCAAAAAAGCGGCTTTTAGGTAAAACACTGACAAGTTAATCAAGGGGTGCCATGAATCAGCAGTACTAAACATCCGTCCCGAATTGGCGCTAATGACTAGTTAGTTATACGTGACTTGCCGGTTTTCTTGTGAAAACTGATATAATTATTTAGTTTCGGGACCTCTTCGTGAGGAGGCTGCTGGTTGCGGTCCTTTTTTTCTTCAACTCATTTACAATTTCGACGATGAAATCGATTTTGTACTATTGTTACCATCGGGAGAACGATCGATCGAATTGATTGACCCGATAGACAAGCGCAACCAACCATTTTTAGATCATCGGGATTTCGCATACAAAATCACAGGAATATCCTATCCTATACCTATCAGTGCCACGACTCCTGCTGGTCTTTGAATTTACAGATTTAATAGATAAAGACTAGTTTATATTTTTGGAAAATTTCTTTCTTATTTACCAAGCATCACCGTGGCAAAATCTAATCCGCTTTGTTTTTAATCTTAAATTTTGGCATAGGTACTGATTTTATTCGCTTTTCAGTACTACAATACGCCTTCATCTATGCAAACGAAAATACATAGGTAATTTATAATGATCCATCACATCTTGCGAGGTGTTTTGTCTTGTTTTTCCGTCACCGCAGGTTACAGTTCCGTATGCAGATTATTATCAGTACGTATGTCTCTCGAATAGACAGGAAAAGAGTTCGTGAAAGACATCGGGCGCGACGCGATCGACGCCAAGCGTCAGGACGAGGCAGCGGGCGGATTTCATTTTTCCTGTCGAAATATCACCAGCGTGGTGTGGTGTGATGTCGGGTCGTACGTTCGTTCGTTGGTTGCTAGGCGATGTGACAAAAGTTCCTCTAATTAGCGTAGGTACGCATGCATGGTATCCGATTTAGCGATGCGGTTGTTTGCAATTGCGAACGGATAATGCAATCCGTGGCGGTATCATCAGAGTGCTCCAGGCCGCCTTAGATTAGCCATACGTATATAAATGTATATCTATGGGGATTGAAAGAGAGTGGCAACCCCATTCGACTGCATGCACGGCGGTGGCGACGGTGCCATTATCGCAAATCCAACCGTTAAAGCATAACATACACATCACGTTTCATATTGTAGCGGTTAGTTATCAGAAGAGAGGGTAGTTGTGACGCTAATTGGTTGGTTTACCTCCCGTTAATTATATGATGCTCTTTATTGAATCGGCGAATTTGGTGTGCAAAGATACGTATCTGCTTACGTTATAAATTAGGTAAAGTAAACTATTGCAAGGGAGGCGATATTAAAGTATGTGGCGATGCTCAAGGCGGTTCGAATGTACAAAGGCATTTATTTAATCATCCACTCTTCATTACAATAAATACCTACGAGACCAGTCGCATGTGGATAACTGAACTAGAAAAGGGAAAGTTAGAATCAGTGTTAAAGATATGATTGTCTTAATTTGTTTCAAACACAAAATGAAGTTCGCATACCCGAAAAGACTAGAAGTGAGTGAGTGCTTTTGGAGAATACATTCGGCAATTTCTTTGGATGCACTCATGATCAGGTCTCAATCCAAAGACTGGTTGGATACGCGCCTCTACTTCTTCGCGAAACAGAANACAATAAATACGAGACCAGTCGCATGTGGGTAACTGAACTAGAAAAGGAAAAGTTAGAATCAGTATTAAAGATATGATTGTCTTAATTTGTTTCAAACACCAAATTAAGTTGGCATCATCCCAGAAGAGAGTAGAAGCGAGAGAGTGCTTTTGGAGAACATATTCGGCAGTTTCTTTGGATGCACTCATGATCAAGTCTTCAACCCAAAGACTGTTTGGATACGCGCCTCTACTTCTTCGCGAAACAGAATGAGTTTTTTGAGCAACGATTAGGTAGATATACGAAAAACTTTTTTTCTATAACCACTCTCAATCCCAATGAATTCATTTTTTTATTACGATGCATACCTTCAAAAGCCATAATATTTATACCTGGGCCTTGCGTGAGTATTTCTGGGATTATTGTTGGTTTGCTGTACGGGTAGGTTGTTTAAGTGCAGGAATTGCGACGTTCTAAAATCAGATCGTCATTAAAACATACACGTCTGGGAAGCGGAAACCGGAAGTTAATCTGCAGTTGCACATAGATATATCGACCGGTAGCCGAGCAGAACTTCCGGTGGACCGGAAACATAAAAAGAGACCACAATTGCTCTCCAGTTAGAAGAGTTCGAACATTTTTGATGTCGTGTCGCAAATCATTGGCTGTATGTAGGTCCTAGGGGTATTATGTAATACCTTCTAGTGTTTGCGGGTTTAATTTTAATTTATTCATACAATAGAAAACAACGTTATTCCTACGTTTGTACATCAGTTGAAAAAAAAACTCACATATTGGTTAGTCTTGTAGTCGTGAAAACGAAAAGTTCCCGCAAAATGTTTCTTCCTTTGAAAAAATAGGAAAGAATCTGAGGAGCGATTATAACAAAGGCAGAAAAGATAAGTAGTTACAACTCATTCTTCGGACATCGAGATCAAGGTGTAGGTGCCGCACTCGCTAACATTTACTAGTACAACCTATGACCTGCCTGTTACATCGCCTGACATCAGATGAAGATATCATTACAAGAAATGAACAATGTCCAATCTCAAATCTTGACCGTTCTTCCTTTCCATTCATAAATGGATTGCGCCTTAGGTGTTTACAATTTTCTCTTTTTTCGAATGCGACTGCGTTTTAACGACGCGGAACTTTTAAAAACTGTTTTCTATTGTTAAGATTGAAAGAGATTTTCGGGAAAACAGAAAAGTCACGTATATATGAATCGAAACGATTATGATTTTACTTACTGAGAATCGTAAATTATTTATTGAAATCGATATCAATAAAAATTCACTTGGGAAATTTATTGACTGCCGAACGAAATTATATTATTTATTGTTAAGATCGTGCGTGGTTTAGAAGACATTGACGGGAATATATTAACACCTACTAAATCTGAATTAGTAACGACATATAGATTTGCTTGTCAATCATAATCAGTTATGGTACTTTATGACAGATCTAACAGTTGGAGTGCCATATCACGCTGAGAAGTTCCACGAAGTCTCCGTCGTAAATTCACGGTGACGTTCAGCGGAATTGGTCGTCAAAAACTTTTTCAATGAAACTTGCTCTTACACATTTTCTCGTTGGCTTTTGGACGAAGATATAAAGATTTAGGAGGTAAAGTGTATTTATTAACTATTAGTTAATACGTTCAGTGTTAATTTGGAATAGGATCGAGTTTGGCTCTAGAGGAATGGTTCTCTTTTATTTTTCTGCTAATGTTCTACGTCATAGAATTCAATCTCATTCTTGATCGAGGATGAATAATGTAAAAAATAGTTCAGTGTAATAAGAAGAATTGTAAGCACCACAAAATCTTTATAATTTTTGAATGATGTCTACAGTTATGTTTTTTTGTATGTACGGTATAATTTCCTTGTAATAAGGGTTCGTAAACTTTTCTGATCGGAATTCGTGGAGAACATAAAATATTTATGGTAGATTGACACCCTGCTACCCGACTGTCACGCAGTTATGCTCGGTAGGTACTTCACGGCTTGACTAATTGCTGTTAGGGCCTGCAAACCCCCGTTGAGCGGTTCCACGAAGTCTATCGTAAACCCATAGCCAGCCGGCCTGGCTCGTAGTCGAAGTAGTCTTCCACGTAGGAGGTGTTCACTGTGTAGGTACATCGACCCAAACGACCCATAGGAATTTGTTAATTTTAACGACCTCCGCGTTTTGGTTTTCTCTTTATCCTGGAAACTCTAAAACATTTAGTATCTTCTCCCGTACCAAGTCGTAAAAATGAAAAAATAGAAAAGGTAACAATAACTCTTTCTTTTTGCAAATTTTACTCGAAAATGATAATCAGTGTCTGGTTAATTCGACTTTAACAATGATCTAAACAAAATGATTTACAGTAAAAAACCCTTGCGTAAGTCGAGTAACTAAACTAATCCAAAAGATGTTTTACTATTGTCAACGTAAATCACTAGCTTTATTACTTATAATCAACCAGAACATATGAAAATCAAACTATCTAATGCAGTTACTACATGCATTGTAATAACCGGATTGTCATTATATGCGGAGTCACAATAAACGAATTTAACAACATCTGTAATGAAATAATATCGTTATGTTTTCGTAAATAAAAATAAAACGAATCAAACACGTGCAAATCTCTGATGCTGTATCCTCTGGGGGTAGTTCTCATTGTTTGGAGCACAAACCACGGGCGGTCTTCCTACATGGGGCACGGGGTATCGGCCCTATGAATTTTTCGTCGACTTTCAGCGCGCTTTGTTCCGTATCTTTATCTGAATCGCTGTAACACCTCTCCATTTATCTAAATCCGCAATTTAGTGTGTCCCTCTATGCGAGTGAGATTACTCAACCGGGACCTTACCATATGGCACATTTTTGAACTGGTATATAGATGACTTTTCGATTGAAATACCGCGTAATTACACAACATCCATTACGGAAATAATAATAATGACGATGATTACACGATGCCAATCAAAGGGCCGTTTCTATTCAATGATATTTGCAATACAAGAAATTGAACTATTATACTTATACCTAACTGGAGCTATTGATAAGTAGTTAAAATAATTAGGGGCATGATAAAATTGATACCTATGATAAATTTGACTGTAATTCGCCTCTGTTTGTCTATTGTTTTATCGTTTCAATTATTATTTTGCATCTAGGATCTAATCTAGGCCTGTTCCGTCCCTATTTAGTGCTGTTTATAGCCCGTCTAATCCTTATTGACTTCCACAACGTCCTCTCTTACTCTACCCTTTATAATACCTATCCCATTTCCAACCTTTTCTGTTCATTCGCATACAACAATACATCTCAAACTAAAAGAATGGTAATAAAAAATTAATTAGAAACGTAATATCAACTGCATAGTTAGCAAATGTGATTTAATTTATTTTTTGGTGTACAGAACGAAACGTTCTAGTTACTTTTTGAAAGTTATTTATTTAACACTTAGAAAACTGTTTTTCTTTCCATCTGGAGTTGATGTAACTTTCCTTGGGAAACGCAATCGCCTTCGCAATTTTTTTATATAAGTCTTGTTCTTGATTAATTACCTACAATAACTTTCGCAAGTGCCTGGTTTTCTATGCCTATTAGAAAAGTAGCAATTCTACTATTGTTTTTCTTATTTTGTTGGCCTACGCTTTAGGACACGCTAATTGCCTTCCTTTGCGCAAAATGCTTTAAATAGGCAACGCGTATCTGAATAGAACGTATTTTACTCCCTAGTAGAGNTGTGAATCAATTAATTGAGATGAAACATATTTATCTGCAAATTTTAAACAAATTTTTATTATCTAGACTTGACCCCATTTTCTCCCCAAACTTAAGTTTCTTCACAAGGTATGCAATAAAAATGAAATTTAGTTTTCTTAAATTTGACCTAAAAAATCGTCTAATCAAAAATACTTTAGGTCTAGGATGAATAGATACATTAGCACCATTGCATACGTTAATATCATCACGTACACACAAAATTAATCAATTACTAGTTTTTTACTTCGGTATATATAGGTACCTACACCAAAGAGGTTTTCAATGATCATTCATCATCAAAACGGTAATTATGCCTATTTTGATCATAAAAAAAGGCAAGTTATTAAATGACGCAGAAGCTCAGAAGCGCGCAATGGTTAGACGTAAAAATATATAAGTAATACAAAGGTGATAAACAGTACTTAGTTACTGTATTTTGAATGTTCTATGTTAGTAGACACAATTTTAAAAGGTAGCTGCTTTCGCAACCGTTATCTTGACGAATTTCAGAGAAATGCGATACATAGATTTTTTGAATCAAAAACGTATTGCATAAGTAAGTCGAAAACAAATTTCTTTTTAATGTGCTAATTCGATTCATTAGATGATCTGGCATGTCGTTAACATTATTTGATTAATAGAAACGGCTTAAAAATGAGAAGAAAAACATTACTGAAAGTAGGTAATTGAATAAACTAGAAACATAGTTTATTTTATGAAATAATATTAGTACCTAAGTCTAATATTTATTAATTATAGGGATGTTGTTGCGTAGCCTAATTGATTTTCACGTTCTGTCGATAAATTTTACTTGTAATTGTAATTGCAGAAAAAGAAGAGAAGTTTATAAAATTGGTACAAAACATATGTCATTGGGAGTAAGTACTAGAACAGAACTCAAACGAATAGGTTACAAATACCATATCGGGCATTTGCATTTAATAAGAAGACATTTGTTACAGTAAAACACATTAAAATAGTGTTGTTCAACGTCTTCATCGTCGGTACCTGAAGAACGAGTCAACTAATGACTTACATTTCAGTCCGCTAGTTCATTTGTAACATGTCAAAAATACGTAGTTCTAATCGCTACTAAAAATAAATGACGCACGTTGCCGCCTATCTTACTACGATAGATACAAGTTATCTAATATAAGCATGCACCGTCAGCAAGCTCTTTTAAACGCAATCTTAATTTTCACCGTTCCGTTTTTTTTTTCGTTCTTTTCATTTCTCGAACTATAATTAACTTATTCGATGATAAATTTCGTTATCAATCATTTTGTTAACAGCCACTTTCACATCACGCGGAACTATGGTGAAATGAGGACAACCACCTGCCCTTTTCTATTTATTAGGTGCCGGGAACAATGTGTTACCGAAAGTTTATTAGTTAATTGGAAAACTATTGATCCGTTCCTCTATTGCCACGCGCGAAATTATTCCGATGTGTTCATTAGCTAAATTGGGAAAACTTTCTGACCTCGTGGTTCCTCTCTGTTTTTGTACTAAACAACATCCGCGTAAAACCATTGTCTACAGCGTGTACATTTTGATGGTTTGATCAGTGGGGATCTAAGTAGAAGAAGCAAGATGTTGATTTATTTTTCTTTTGCGACTTTTCGCTGGTCGGCTTGGTTTGCCAACTTCTGCAAGCAAATGTTAATCGTGAAAATATTTGGAAAAGCTCACGAAACATCTCAAAAGTTAAAATACATGCGTTAATATCTTGTTTTTATTAATCTGTCTGGTTCTCCACAGATTGAGAATCCATCAAATTTCATATCGTACCTATAAGATACTAAACTATATTCATAACAAATATGCATCGCTCCTTTAGTAAAACATCATCTTCATAGGGTCGTCAGTCCTGAGTGTCGTTGGACACGTATCTATTACCAAAAACTAGAAGATCCCACATCCTTAACTATTTGTGAACAGGAATTTAATATAGGACTACCTCCCCTCCTTTTAACTCCTTTTTTTTGCTTCTAATATGTCTCTAACTCATGCATGAAGTGTCTTATGAACCTATCTCGCCTATTTCTTATTGACTTCCATAGCGCCCTGTGTTCTCCTATTCCTTCCCATTTCCATTCACGATATCCTCATCATTCACCTGTAACACCACATTTCGAACACTTCTAACTCCGGTCATACAATCTTTTTCGAATTTCTAAATTAACCGTTCGTGACTTCTTTTTGCTTTTGTTTTATATCTGTACTGATCCATTCTATCCTGAATTATCTGACTTCCTAGATACCGAAAATTAGCGATTTCGTCTCATTTAACAATACAATTTTAATAAACAATGAAAAACTTCTCTTTAAGGAGTATTCAGATTGGACTGTTGGACCATTCCTTCTTGATATACGAAGGATTACAATCGAATGGACGTACATTTTACGTGGAAATTTTATTTTCATAAAAAAATACACATGTAGGTACACAGTATAGATATACGCGCGGATGCAATTTGTTTCGGGGATGTGGTTGGGTTGCTTAAGATATTAAAGACTTTTTGTGGCTGGTATGTTAATGGACCTTGCTCAAAAATTGACGGTAAATAAATTCATTCGGTGATGAGGTGAGGTGTAAGCCTTGACATGTGTGATTTGTCCGTGTCAGTACGAAGAACTCGTCACTCACCCGCGGATGCTAATGACCATGACGTAGTTATTGCGGCAAAGATTGACTGATACAAAGCAACATGCATGCATACATACACACATACCTATACGTCGTACTTACGTGGACATTTGAGAAAAATGTTCAGCCACTTCTTTTAACAGTAATGAGGGTTTAATTTGGAACTTGTATTATTAGGTTTTAGCGGGCATGTGTCTGATGCATCATGCTGTTGCTACGATAACTACCTGTATACATAATAAATAAAAAATTCCACAATAATAACTTGCCAAGATAACAATCTATACGCATACATACGCATTAGTAATGGAAGATTACCGCTCAGAACGAAATAAAAAATTGGGTCGTTAAGTATATGTATATGATACGAAGAATATAACAAGTATCTTAGTGTCTTTTAACCAGACAAGTACCTATTCGTACGTTTACATTTACAGCCTAACAAGAAAACAGAAAGTTAAATAATTTTTAATTTTTGAAAAAATGTATAGCAAAATCTCTATATCAGTATCTTAAGAATGCCCTAGTAAATTCCGATCCGGCCGAGAAGCTGCTGATAGGGTCAGGGTCCTCGCCTAACAAATTTCCAATTGGATAGAATTTTGTAGATATGAACAAACGCAAAATAGGTTTTAAAAATATTTAAGGTTAAATACGTACATAAAGAGGCATAAAATATAATTAATGAACATAAAAAATGCTTTGAAAATTAACTCGTCATTCGACTTGCGCCAATAATTTAATAGAAAATAATAATTCGTATAATTAAAATAAATGATAACTTGTTCTGATATTAAAATATTGCTAATTAAATGACTTCTTTGTTCTCTAGTGTGAATAACATTAAAAAGAGATAGACATATGCACAAGAATACGATAGCAACGCGCTTTCGTGTAAAGCTTTGTAGTGTATTGCAAGACCTGACCGGTGATCGGTGTATTAAATTTAAATATTTAATTAAAGACGTTTAACTGAAGATTTTCAAATAAATTTTCTTTTATTTAGTGTCAGGATTAACTAAGTGCAGGCGTACATGCATAATTTTACTCACGTAAAGACAGTTTGTGTACTGAGGGATAATAAGGAGGATGAACATCCTGGCCGACATCTAATTAAATTGCTTTTAAAAGTAAGGTTTTCTGAATTTTATAATTTTGCACTTGTGCCTGAATACAGAGATATGGAAAATAAACATGGAATGTTTTTAAAAACAAATATTGAAATTATTTTGTGTAAAGGTGTACAGAAAAGGACGTAGGGTTCCTTTTATCCAGAAAAAAAAAATGTTCCAAGAGATAGAAAAAGTTTTGTTTCATCTCAAAAAAGGACAGTATTTACTGTCATTCTTCCAAAGTGTATACTTAACATAAAAAATTAGAAACTTTAATTTTATCCTGACTTCAGAATAAATTTATCGAAGTATTGTATTTTTGATGATTTTTGACACATATTTAGGGCATCAGCGCCAGAAAAACATTACTGAAAGTATGTAATTGAATAAACTAGAAACTTATAGTTTATTTTATGAAATAATATTAGTACCTAAGTCTAATATTTATTAAGCGACAACACTGTAGTTGATTTTCTGTTTGTTTTTTTTTGCTTCCAGAAGCACAAACAATGTATATGTAGGTATATAGGTACTAACTTTTGTAAAACCATCACATTACGTACTTACGCAAAATAAATAATTTTCCTTTCTTACCATTCGTAACTATACGTCCCTGATAAGAGGGATTGGGAATTAATTTCTCATATAAATATTAGGTTGTCTCTTTAATTTCAGCATGGACTGTAATCAAGTCATCCACGTCATCCCATCCCATCAACCACCTTCGGGCAATCAACAGACGATTTCATTGGTAAAAGAAATTCTCCTGGGGCGATCAACGAACGTTCGCGACCATAATAAATCAAGAAAATTATGTCGTTAATCTCGGCAATCTTCAGGTGTCAACACGATGACCACGGCCACGTAGTGGTAGTAGACAAGCGTCATTTCCTGATGTTAGCGGTGAGTGGTGCCTCCTCATCTGTCTCGCTCTCACTCTCTCGCGGTACGAGTACCCTCAATTTCCGGCTGGCTCGTCCCCAATTACACACATATAGTAATCGCAGGAAATTATCAAGTTGCAGCGGTAGCAGCAGGCCAACCTTATCTATCTGATTTATTTATTATTGCCGACGACGCCCAATCCCGACTATAATATTGGCGAAGGTATGCACGTACATACATGTTAGGTGCCTATCATCATACATTTGCCAAACTGCCCTGATTATTACGGCACGGCACTCCATTATAGAGATTATCATTTTGATTGGTCTGACCATGGCTCTTAACAATCAGTAAACCAGTATCTGACTAGGGAACGTATCCGTAGTACACGACCCGTCAGGGTGCAGGGAGATCTTCAAAAATACCACGCTTGACCACAGGGATGGGCCACATAGTCAATGTCCTCTAGAGAAATCTCGCGCTTTTTGAGCTATATTCAAAATTTTTTGTTCGCAAAAAATAATTTAAAACCATTTTTATGAATTATTATAGGCGGAGGTGGATCTTGACATATACTACGGGAGGAAACGGGGGGGAGTAAAAAATGGGTCACGTAGTATAAGTACTTTCCCTAACCAGTAAATAAAGTGTGTACATTATATAGTTAGAAATAAATAAAATTGAATAACTGCTGATGTTTTTTATTTTTGAAGTGTTTTGATTTCCACTTTGCATTTTTCATTTCAGAGAAAGTGTAGCCTGTACTACAGACCCTGCGGAACAATTTGCGATCAATGCCAAATCAGATTAACAATGTGAGGTAAGATATTGTCAAAATTAGCTCGCTCTTTTTTTTCTTTATAATTTCTACTTTAAGTGCATATCCAGTGAATAATTTTTTAATTATGTGTAAGTTAAATTAATCAGTACTTTTCAATTTTACAGGATCTTTAAGAAGATAAAAGGAAGAAGGAAGAAGTCCGAGAGTCCAGTCCTGTGCCCGAGAGACCAATCCAACCCCAACTACCTCTGGAGATGGAGGAAGAAACTTAGAAGAAAAGAAAAAGGTAAGATTCTTCTATTTGTTTTATGTTTATTATTTTGTAAATATCTTTTTCTGATTTAATTTTTAATTTTATTTATTAGACATGGTGTAGGTAGTAGTACATTTTCAATTCGCACTTCTTATTGTTACTTTTTTATGGAACAATAAAACTTAGCGTTCTGTTCTGTTCGCGATTTCGAACTTCTTCCTTTTCATTTTCTACAAGGCAATTTAAAATTGGCAGCTACCACTGTAGGTAAATAAATAAAATAGAAAACTGTGCAACGTTCTACGTAAAATAAATAATAGGTTCATCTGCTAAGGTTGGTAAATAGTTCACGGCGTATTGGCGAAATGATGCAGAGGTTATTTGACATGGGAACACGGCTTGTCGTGCGTCCGTCGAGATTAATTTAAATTCGACATGACAGGCTGCTTTGCTGCCAGTATTACACATAAAAACTAGATGAACGATACTCATACCACGATGATGATGATGATGATGATGATATCGTGGTGTTGCTGCTGTTACAACGTTCTCGTTACACACAGTATATTTAACTCGCGTGGTATAATATCGGTCGTTAAATAATGAAGTTCCTTAATAAGTATTTAGGTACGTTAAAATTTTTTGAAACAAACACACTGTCGATTTCGTTTTCGTTAAAAGTATAAAACATTGAAAATCATTAGAAAAACTTAACAACTTCAAACGGAATGAGTTCTAGTTACACCCCTTCCACTTTGCCAATGTTCATACTTTTAACGCGGCTACGGATACGTTGGTTGAGTTGTATGTACCTACGTTAAGAATTTTTTAAAGCAAACACACGAAATAGGCACCTACCTGTCGATTTCGTTTTCATTTACATTTCCACCTTTCATATCATCCAATTTCCGTCAGATCTTAATTTCTTATATCCTACTGTCACAACTTCCTTTTTCTCTTTCTTAATTAGATGTTTGCTTTATACTTTCCTGCACGTGTTTTTCTTTTTTTCCATTAGTTCGTTGTCTGTACATATACCTGAGCCCTTCTATTAGTTTTTCACATATAGAATTTGTTTTTTATTCTCTCAGCACCTATTCCAGCTTTATGAACGTAATTTGTTTTTTATTTCTTATTACTTTATTAAACGCTTACTAACTTTGGTTTTACATGTACCTTATGATTCGGTTTACCTCTTCCTTTTGCTTTTAGAAAAACAATTTGTTTGTTATTTGTGTGTTCAAATATTTCGACACTCCATTATTTTAAAATAAGTTTGTGAAATTTCGCAACGTAATCCTTATTAGCGCTTTTCCTCTTCAGAAAAGAAAAAAAATTATAACTGTTCACAATCGTCAAAGGCTCTTATGCAACTCTTGAATTGCCGCACCTCTGACACAATAAAAAGTACTTAGATCTTGTTTGAACAGTCATTTTCTACGTACTATGTATTGTATACACACTTACATGCATACACTTACGCATATACACCAACAATCCGTAGTATTTATTCTTTGGCAAAAATCTATTATTCAGAAAGTGTTTTAAACGTTTTGACTACACTTTAACCCATTCTAAGATTTTTAGGCGTTCCTTCTCGTTTCTTTTGCGTTACCGCACACAGAAATTTGTAGACAAGACAGAAAGATATATACCGTAGAGGCAAGTTCCGAACCGAACTTGACAACACCAACAAAAAGTTCACATTAGTGGTCACTATTTTTTCCAAATCGTCAGACGCTTTCTGTAGTGATTCATAAAACGCTGTCTTATGGCAGCAAGTNACACATAGTTTATTTTATGAAATAATATTAGTACCTAAGTCTAATATTTATTAATTACAGGGATGTTGTTGCGTAGCCTAATTGATTTTCACGTTCTGTCGATAAATTTTACTTGTAATTGTAATTGCAGAAAAAGAAGAGAAGTTTATAAAATTAGTACAAAACATTTGTCATTGGGAGGAAGTACTAGAACAGAATTCAAACGAATAGGTTACAAATACCATATCGGGCATTTGCATTTAATAAGAAGACATTTGTTACAGTAAAACACATTAAAATAGTGTTGTTCAACGTCTTCATCGTCGGTACCTGAAGAACGAGTCAACTAATGACTTACATTTCAGTCCGCTAGTTCATTTGTAACATGTCAAAAATACGTAGTTCTAATCGCTACTAAAAATAAATGACGCACGTTGCCGCCTATCTTACTACGATAGATACAAGTTATCTAATATAAGCATGCACCGTCAGCAAGCTCTTTTAAACGCAATCTTAATTTTCACCGTTCCGTTTTTTTTTTCGTTCTTTTCATTTCTCGAACTATAATTAACTTATTCGATGATAAATTTCGTTATCAATCATTTTGTTAACAGCCACTTTCACATCACGCGGAACTATGGTGAAATGAGGACAACCACCTGCCCTTTTCTATTTATTAGGTGCCGGGAACAATGTGTTACCGAAAGTTTATTAGTTAATTGGAAAACTATTGATCCGTTCCTCTATTGCCACGCGCGAAATTATTCCGATGTGTTCATTAGCTAAATTGGGAAAACTTTCTGACCTCGTGGTTCCTCTCTGTTTTTGTACTAAACAACATCCGCGTAAAACCATTGTCTACAGCGTGTACATTTTGATGGTTTGATCAGTGGGGATCTAAGTAGAAGAAGCAAGATGTTGATTTATTTTTCTTTTGCGACTTTTCGCTGGTCGGCTTCGTTTGCCAACTTCTGCAAGCAAATGTTAATCGTGAAAATATTTGGAAAAGCTCACGAAACATCTCAAAAGTAAAAATACATGCGTTAATATCTTGTTTTTATTAATCTGTCTGGTTCTCCACAGATTGAGAATCCATCAAATTTCATATCGTACCTATAAGATACTAAACTATATTCATAACAAATATGCATCGCTCCTTTAGTAAAACATCATCTTCATAGGGTCGTCAGTCCTGAGTGTCGTTTGACACGTATCTATTACCAAAAACTAGAAGATCCCACATCCTTAACTATTTGTGAACAGGAATTTAATATAGGACTACCTCCCCTCCTTTTAACTCCTTTTTTTTGCTTCTAATATGTCTCTAACTCATGCATGAAGTGTCTTATGAACCTATCTCGCCTATTTCTTATTGACTTCCATAGCGCCGTGTGTTCTCCTATTCCTTCCCATTTCCATTCACGATATCCTCATCATTCACCTGTAACACCACATTTCGAACACTCCGGGCATACAATCTTTTTCGAATTTCTAAATTAACCGTTCGTGACTTCTTTTTGCTTTTGTTTTATATCTGTACTGATCCATTGTATCCTGAATTATCTGACTTCCTAGATACCGAAAATTAGCGATTTCGTCTCATTTAACAATACAATTTTAATAAACAATGAAAAACTTCTCTTTAAGGAGTATTCAGATTGGACTGTTGGACCATTCCTTCTTGATATACGAAGGATTTCAATCGAATGGATGTACATTTTACGTGGAAATTTTATTTTCATAAAAATATACACATGTAGGTACATACTATAGATAGATATACGCGCGGATGCAATTTGTTTCGGGGATGTGGTTGGGTTGCTTAAGATATTAAAGACTTTTTGTGGCTGGTATGTTAATGGACCTTGCTCAAAAATTGACGGTAAATAAATTCATTCGGTGATGAGGTGAGGTGTAAGCCTTGACATGTGTGATTTGTCCGTGTCAGTACGAAGAACTCGTCACTCACCCGCGGATGCTAATGACCATGACGTAGTTATTGCGGCAAAGATTGACTGATACAAAGCAACATGCATGCATACATACACACATACCTATACGTCGTACTTACGTGGACATTTGAGAAAAATGTTCAGCCACTTCTTTTAACAGTAATGAGGGTTTAATTTGGAACTTGTATTATTAGGTTTTAGCGGGCATGTGTCTGATGCATCATGCTGTTGCTACGATAGCTACCTGTATACATAATAATAAATAAAAAATTCCACAATAATAACTTGCCACGATAACAATGTATACACATACATACGCATTAGCAATGGAAGATTACCGCTCAGAACGAAATAAAAAATTGGGCCGTTAAGTATATGTATATGATACGAAGAATATAACAAGTATCTTAGTGTCTTTTAACCAGACAAGTACCTATTCGTACGTTTACATTTACAGCCTAACAAGAAAACAGAAAGTTAAATAATTTTTAATTTTTGAAAAACGTTGTATAGCAAAATCAGTATCTTAAGAATGCCCTAGTAAATTCCGATCCGGCCGAGAAGCTGCTGATAGGGTCAGGGTCCTCGCCTAACAAATTTCCAATTGGATAGAATTTTGTAGATATGAACAAACGCAAAATAGGTTTTAAAAATATTTAAGGTTAAATACGTACATAAAGAGGCATAAAATATAATTAATGAACATAAAAAATGCTTTGAAAATTAACTCGTCATTCGACTTGCTCCAATAATTTAATAGAAAATAATAATTCGTATAATTAAAATAAATGATAACTTGTTCTGATATTAAAATATTGCTAATTAAATGACTTCTTTGTTCTCTAGTGTGAATAACATTAAAAAGAGATAGACATATGCACAAGAATAGGATAGCAACGCGCTTTCGTGTAAAGCTTTGTAGTGTACTGCAAGACCTGACCGGTGATCGGTGTATTAAATTTAAATATTTAATTAAAGACGTTTAACTGAAGATTTTCAAATAAATTTTCTTTTATTTAGTGTCAGGATTAACTAAGTGCAGGCGTACATGCATAATTTTACTCACGTAAAGACAGTTTGTGTACTGAGGGATAATAAGGAGGATGAACATCCTGGCCGACATCTAATTAAATTGCTTTTAAAAGTAAGGTTTTCTGAATTTTATAATTTTGCACTTGTGCCTGAATACAGAGATATGGAAAATAAACATGCAATGTTTTTAAAAACAAATATTGAAATTATTTTGTGTAAAGGTGTACAGAAAAGGACGTAGGGTTCCTTTTATCCAGAAAAAAAAAATGTTCCAAGAGATAGAAAAAGTTTTGTTTCATCTCAAAAAAGGACAGTATTTACTGTCATTCTTGCAAAGTGTATACTTAACATAAAAAAATTAGAAACTTTAATTTTATCCTGACTTCAGAATAAATTTATCGAAGTATTGTATTTTTGATGATTTTTGACACATATTTAGGGCATCAGCGCCAGCGAAGCCGTGGGTAAAGCGTATATATACAATAAATTGCAAAGCTTTCTATTGATTTAAGAAAAATAATTTCCGAATAAGGGTGTTAAGAGAGAAGACTAATTTTCTGTTTGTTTTTTTTTGCTTCCAGAAGCACAAACAATGTATATGTAGGTATATAGGTACTAATTTTTGTAAAACCATCACATTACGTAGGTACGCAAAATAAATAATTTTCCTTTCTTACCATTCGTAACTATACGTCCCTGATAAGAGGGATTGGGAATTAATTTCTCATATAAATATTAGGTTGTCTCTTTAATTTCAGCATGGACTGTAATCAAGTCATCCACGTCATCCCATCCCATCAACCACCTTCGGGCAATCAACAGACGATTTCATTGGTAAAAGAAATTCTCCTGGGGCGATCAACGAACGTTCGCGACCATAATAAATCAAGAAAATTATGTCGTTAATCTCGGCAATCTTCAGGTGTCAACACGATGACCACGGCCACGTAGTGGTAGTAGACAAGCGTCATTTCCTGATGTTAGCGGTGAGTGGTGCCTCCTCATCTGTCTCGCTCTCACTCTCTCGCGGTACGAGTACCCTCAATTTCCGGCTGGCTCGTCCCCAATTACACACATATAGTAATCGCAGGAAATTATCAAGTTGCAGCGGTAGCAGCAGGCCAACCTTATCTATCTGATTTATTTATTATTGCCGACGACGCCCAATCCCGACTATAATATTGGCGAAGGTATGCACGTACATACATGTTAGGTGCCTATCATCATACATTTGCCAAACTGCCCTGATTATTACGGCACGGCACTCCATTATAGAGATTATCATTTTGATTGGTCTGACCATGGCTCTTAACAATCAGTAAACCAGTATCTGACTAGGGAACGTATCCGTAGTACACGACCCGTCAGGGTGCAGGGAGATCTTCAAAAATACCACGCTTGACCACAGGGATGGGCCACATAGTCAATGTCCTCTAGAGAAATCTCGCGCTTTTTGAGCTATATTCAAAATTTTTTGTTCGCAAAAAATAATTTAAAACCATTTTTATGAATTATTATAGGCGGAGGTGGATCTTGACATATACTACGGGAGGAAACGGGGGGGAGTAAAAAATGGGTCACGTAGTATAAGTACTTTCCCTAACCAGTAAATAAAGTGTGTACATTATATAGTTAGAAATAAATAAAATTGAATAACTGCTGATGTTTTTTATTTTTGAAATGTTTTGATTTCCACTTTGCATTTTTCATTTCAGAGAAAGTGTAGCCTGTACTACAGACCCTGCGGAACAATTTGCGATCAATGCCAAATCAGATTAACAATGTGAGGTAAGATATTGTCAAAATTAGCTCGCTCTTTTTTTTCTTTATAATTTCTACTTTAAGTGCATATCCAGTGAATAATTTTTTAATTATGTGTAAGTTAAATTAATCAGTACTTTTCAATTTTACAGGATCTTTAAGAAGATAAAAGGAAGAAGGAAGAAGTCCGAGAGTCCAGTCCTGTGCCCGAGAGACCAATCCAACCCCAACTACCTCCGGAGATGGAGGAAGAAACTTAGAAGAAAAGAAAAAGGTAAGATTCTTCTATTTGTTTTATGTTTATTATTTTGTAAATATCTTTTTCTGATTTAATTTTTAATTTTATTTATTAGACATGGTGTAGGTAGTAGTACATTTTCAATTCGCACTTCTTATTGTTACTTTTTTATGGAACAATAAAACTTAGCGTTCTGTTCTGTTCGCGATTTCGAACTTCTTCCTTTTCATTTTCTACAAGGCAATTTAAAATTGGCAGCTACCACTGTAGGTAAATAAATAAAATAGAAAACTGTGCAACGTTCTACGTAAAATAAATAATAGGTTCATCTGCTAAGGTTGGTAAATAGTTCACGGCGTATTGGCGAAATGATGCAGAGGTTATTTGACATGGGAACACGGCTTGTCGTGCGTCCGTCGAGATTAATTTAAATTCGACATGACAGGCTGCTTTGCTGCCAGTATTACACATAAAAACTAGATGAACGATACTCATACCACGATGATGATGATGATGATGATGATATCGTGGTGTTGCTGCTGTTACAACGTTCTCGTTACACACAGTATATTTAACTCGCGTGGTATAATATCGGTCGTTAAATAATGAAGTTCCTTAATAAGTATTTAGGTACGTTAAAATTTTTTGAAACAAACACACTGTCGATTTCGTTTTCGTTAAAAGTATAAAACATTGAAAATCATTAGAAAAACTTAACAACTTCAAACGGAATGAGTTCTAGTTACACCCCTTCCACTTTGCCAATGTTCATACTTTTAACGCGGCTACGGATACGTTGGTTGAGTTGTATGTACCTACGTTAAGAATTTTTTAAAGCAAACACACGAAATAGGCACCTACCTGTCGATTTCGTTTTCATTTACATTTCCACCTTTCATATCATCCAATTTCCGTCAGATCTTAATTTCTTATATCCTACTGTCACAACTTCCTTTTTCTCTTTCTTAATTAGATGTTTGCTTTATACTTTCCTGCACGTGTTTTTCTTTTTTTCCATTAGTTCGTTGTCTGTACATATACCTGAGCCCTTCTATTAGTTTTTCACATATAGAATTTGTTTTTTATTCTCTCAGCACCTATTCCAGCTTTATGAACGTAATTTGTTTTTTATTTCTTATTACTTTATTAAACGCTTACTAACTTTGGTTTTACATGTACCTTATGATTCGGTTTACCTCTTCCTTTTGCTTTTAGAAAAACAATTTGTTTGTTATTTGTGTGTTCAAATATTTCGACACTCCATTATTTTAAAATATGTTTTTGAGAAATTTCGCAACGTAATCCTTATTAGCGCTTTTCCTCTTCAGAAAAGAAAAAAAATTATAACTGTTCACAATCGTCAAAGGCTCTTATGCAACTCTTGAATTGCCGCACCTCTGACACAATAAAAAGTACTTAGATCTTGTTTGAACAGTCATTTTCTACGTACTATGTATTGTATACACACTTACATGCATACACTTACGCATATACACCAACAATCCGTAGTATTTATTCTTTGGCAAAAATCTATTATTCAGAAAGTGTTTTAAACGTTTTGACTACACTTTAACCCATTCTAAGATTTTTAGGCGTTCCTTCTCGTTTCTTTTGCGTTACCGCACACAGAAATTTGTAGACAAGACAGAAAGATATATACCGTAGAGGCAAGTTCCGAACCGAACTTGACAACACCAACAAAAAGTTCACATTAGTGGTCACTATTTTTTCCAAATCGTCAGACGCTTTCTGTAGTGATTCATAAAACGCTGTCTTATGGCAGCAAGTAGAATGGGTCTGTATTCTGTCAAAATTGTCTACGACACGCTGATGAGATCCAATTAGATCGAAATCGCGATCCGCGTCTGACAGCTTCGACAAAATACTGATCACCACGAACTTGTTTTTCTGCAGGGTTACGTAGATTAGCTACGCCCTGAATTCAGTTCGACAAGTTGGTATCCTTAAGGATCTTGTTGAACATTTTTAAATTCCATTAAAGATACCAATATACTATAGATAGCATTTACGTTATTTATAGTAATTCATTCTATTATTGCAAGTAATCGTCAAAGGGTGATATCCTTTTTCGACTAATACGACGTGTGGTAAAATAAAGTTCGTACAAATACCTTCAGCTATCTCTTCGTATAGGTTAATAATAAATTAATATAACTCCAGTAAATACAATTTAAAGTTTTACATCCCTCAAAAATCTGAAACTTAGATTACTTTATTATTTATATAAAAAGATGGCTAAGGGTATGTCTGCAAATTTTCCTATATCACGTCGAATTTTTCGAAAGATAATGACTCCCTCTTATAATTGCATGTAACGAAATGTAAGTATTCGTTTTTTTAAGTTGCCAGTAGTGTATATAGGAACCTACACATTTAGTACACGAAGATGATGCTGCTACGGCTAAGAACCAAAAAAAATTAGATCCCATCGTCAGAACACGCATTCTGAATAATTCATGACTTCACAAGCCACCGTGTAAGGAAGTTGGTAGCTACCAATTTTATGCGGCTTCTGTTTTTCTGTTGCTCGTGAAACGAATTTGACACGTTTTCTTCTTTATGAACGAACGGTCGCTGCTAGACGTCGTGATGCAAAATTTTCTTTCCGGCTTGTTTGTTGTTAGTCTCTCACTAAAAACGTCTCGTCGAACAGAAGCGGAAAGACCCATCTAACATTCTTGTCCTATTTTTAATTCTTTTAAAATAATTCACTTTCTTAATTGACTAATTAACTCTTAATTTAACCAATTAAAACGATTTAGTATTTAAAAATACTTAATATATTGAAACAATACTGATAATTGTAATTCTAATATCTGAAAATATTTTACTATATTTTTATTTTTAAATTGAGTGTTAAAATTTTCGCTTGATGATTGTAGCAGTTACTGATTGTTGTTGTTTCCAGTTTAAATATTTCTCTAAGGTCATACAACTTCCTGATATGCCAGAATACCGGAAGTCATCATTACCATTTTCAGTTTAATTTGGTTCTATTAGAAAGAGCAATTTGTTGTACTACGTTTTTTAGATTTTCTGGGCCTAGTTCTCTTAAAAAAGTTATTAGGTACATTTTAAAACAACGTACATTTTTTTTGTTTAACGCATGTTTCTGATATTGTTGCAGACCCTGGACAACAATTCCCGGCCCAGACCATCTCAGTCAAGTCCGATCCAATCCACTCCAATCCCACGAGGTCCAACCCTAGCTACTTTTGGAGGAGGACAAAGGAGAAGGAACGACACGGTAGGATTTCTCTTATTATTTCATATTTATTTATCTATTGTATATGTACACAGGCACAATTTTGCGTTATAGTAGGGGTTGTCAGAAATTTCTTGAGCATTTCAGTTTGAGTCGCTCAATCAATTAAAATTTACCTATCTTGAGACAATCTTCTCATTTTCCGAAAATTGCAAAATCTCACACCATTAATTATTCGCGAATAGTAATCTTATCTATGTCTTGCAGTTGACAAACGTAATTTAAAATATATATTAATTATCTTTGTTGCTTTTTTACAAAACTTTTAATGGCAGGTTGTTTTCTACAGGGGGTTTGATTAAAATCGTCAATTAGGAGTTTCGAAAGGCTTTAAATGTTTTCTAGGTTTTAAAAAATAAAGGTTAGGTAAAATCGGTTGTTTTCTTGTTCTGTTTTATAGAAATATTATTTAGGATGATTTTAGTTCCGATTGTTTATGTACTATGAATTAAATTGACGAGTTTCTTTTTTACATTTGGGCATGACGTACATGGTAACATANTGTAGAAAATAAAATAAGCTACAAAATTCTTATGTACGTTTTTAATGTAGGTCAAGCCGTTCATTAGTTAACCTTGAAAAACGTAATTTTGTTTAATAAATGCTTTGATCAAATGCTTCAAGCGACACCTTGTAGCACTTTCAAGGACAACGAATTATCTATAAAACTATCCTTGCAGCATGCGATAGTGTAATGAAAATAAAGAGAAGTTATCAAATTTAAATGCTTTTTAAAGGGAAAAAAGGATGTTTTTAATATCGAAAGTAAAGATTGAAAATTTGAAAGAATATTTATCGACAAGTATTGATATGAAAAATGAAAATGCTCGTTTGAAGCGAATAATTTTTATCGATCAATAGTACAGTTTATTAAAAAATAATAAGATATCGCATTTTAAAATTACGACTAATAGGTTATTTAAATTTCCGCTGAAACGAAAAAATTTTCTGGAATTTTGCGTTATAGTAGGGGTTGTCAGAAATTTCTTGAGCATTTCAGTTTGAGTCGCTCAATCAATTAAAATTTACCTATCTTGAGACAATCTTCTCATTTTCCGAAAATTGCAAAATCTCACACCATTAATTATTCGCGAATAGTAATCTTATCTATGTCTTGCAGTTGACAAACGTAATTTAAAATATATATTAATTATCTTTGTTGCTTTTTTACAAAACTTTTAATGGCATTTTTTTTTCTACAGGGTGTTTGATTAAAATCGTCAATTAGAAGTTTCGAAAGGCTTTAAATGTTTTCTAGGTTTTAAAAAATAAAGGTTAGGTAAAATCGGTTGTTTTCTTGTTCTGTTTTATAGAAATATTATTTAGGATGATTTTAGTTCCGATTGTTTATGTACTATGAATTAAATTGACGAGTTTCTTTTTTACATTTGGGCATGACGTACATGGTAACATATTTTGATTGTACTCTTTATTTTTCGGTGACTATTAATTTGTATTCTTGTATTTTGACGATAACGTGGTAATTTTTGAAGCTAAAGAAGTGATGTTTAATACCACTTTCGGGTTTTTCATTCAGTGTAAGTCAGGTGCAGAAAATGATTTTCTTTCACTGGGTATTTAAATTACCAAAACTCGAAATTATTAAATGGGATTGCCTTTTCCTTTTTTCGAAGAAGTGGACATAATTTAAAAATATTTTTAGAGCTGTACTCTAAGTCTAAATCTTTTCACTTATCTCCTTTACTTTAGTCTGTATTCAGCGTTATGTAAAAACAATTGACAAAAATTGTTAGTTTACGAAACTTTCATACATGACAAAGAATTACGTAATATTTTTAGGGTGTTAAGTGAAGTACAAAATTTACATCCCCAATCCTTGTCGCAAATTTTGTTAACACGTTTATTTCCTTTCTTCCTCCTAAAGACGCTGGCACTCAATTCTCTTTCTAATCCCTCTACAAAATCTTCCTCAACCCCATCATATACCTTGACTCTTACATCCTCTCCCCGTACTATTCCTTTGTATTTGTTCTTCATCAATTTCCCTATACTGATCCTTTCCCTCAACCTTTACCTCACTTGTTCCTGATTGATTTTTAATCTTTTTAAAACCTTAATTGATAAGATACTTTGTGAAGGTACATTAAAACTTAATTTTTTAATTATTTTGTATACTTTTCTACACTTATTCACTTTAACGTTACAAGTAAAACACTATTTTTTATTTATTTATTGATTTATTAAACAGTAAATAGTTTTAGATAAACCAATATCGTATTCTTTAAGTTGTGGTATGAAAGTTTCATAAACACTTTATTAAAAAATGTATTTATTATAGTAAAATATGATAATAAGTAAGTTCGTTGAGGTGATTCGTTTAGACTTCGAACGAGCATTTTTGTCTTTTATTTCCCATTGTTAAATTTCGTTATCTTACGTATGGAAAATAATATTCTTTCAAATGTTTATCCCTTGGTTACTACAATTTTAAGAATTTATCATTTATTTATTGCTATTCCTTTTAAAGAGCATGTAAATGTGACTACTTTTAAATTTTTTATAACGCAGTATTTAACGCTATCACAATGTTTCCGGGCTCATTTTATAGATAGTTTGTTGTTCTTAAGGGGGTTGGAGAGTTACATACACGGTTAAGGAATTTACTATTGGACAAAGAATAGTGAATAACTAATTATACAAGCTGAATAAACATTAGTAATGAAACAAAATAGATGCTAATATTAAAAATTAGATGAAAAATAAAAAAAGTTGTAACATTTTGCAAAATCGTTAATAATCGCGCGTTCTTTTTATTTTTCATCCAATTTTTACTATTTAGCTTCCATTTTGTTTCTCTGCTAATTTTTAACATTTTCGCTAAATAAAATTTTGTTGGAGCACATCGTTATTTAACATTTTTATGCAAAATTAACTTTTTTAACACCGTAACACCCGAAATAACGAATCACATCACATATGAATGCAAAATTTTGTTTAGTGAAGCAGTTAAAAATTATCAATGAAACAAAATAACTGTTAGATATTGAAACTTAGATTAGAAATAAAAATGTTTCACTATTTTTAAGTGCGTTTTGATCATTTCAGAAAAAAATGTAATCTAATTTTTAATAATTAGCATCGGTTTTGTTTCATTTTTAATGTTTAACAGCTGCATCGAATTAATTTTTGAAGATGTGTGACCTTGACAGAGTAGCTTTTCAATCATTTACCGTAATTTACCGTAGCTTGAATCATGTAGCCATCACTTACAGTTGCAATGCACGTAAAAATTTTGTAGCAGATTTAATTGTCGACAAAAAAGTTACAGTAGACTAGGTCTCTAAAGAAATAATAAATTTCCACATAAATTGACTTTAAATCTCTCTATATCTTTCAAACCATGTACTTTAAGGACTTCGCCTACAAGATCTTTTTTGTAGAAAATAAAATAAGCTACAAAATTCTTATGTACGTTTTTAATGTAGGTCAAGCCGTTCATTAGTTAACCTTGAAAAACGTAATTTTGTTTAATAAATGCTTTGATCAAATGCTTCAAGCGACACCTTGTAGCACTTTCAAGGACAACGAATTATCTATAAAACTATCCTTGCAGCATGCGATAGTGTAATGAAAATAAAGAGAAGTTATCAAATTTAAATGCTTTTTAAAGGGAAAAAAGGATGTTTTTAATATCGAAAGTAAAGATTGAAAATTTGAAAGAATATTTATCGACAAGTATTGATATGAAAAATGAAAATGCTCGTTTGAAGCGAATAATTTTTATCGATCAATAGTACAGTTTATTAAAAAATAATAAGATATCGCATTTTAAAATTACGACTAATAGGTTATTTAAATTTCCGCTGAAACGAAAAAATTTTCTGGACATACTGTACATACAATACAGCTGACCAGTACTGTATAAAAACTTAAAATAACGCTTCTTTAACTTCATAAATTAACATTTTATTAAGAAACTCTTACAATTATGTGTACTTAGTATATTTATTTTAAATGTTTTATATAACATTAATAGTCATCAAAAGATAACGAACAAAACTAAAATATATTATAAAGGTATGTATTTCATGCCAATTAAAAATTAATAAGAAACTTACCGTCAACATCTATGCATATAAAGCACCGGAACTGATATCATCACGAAAATATTTTTATAAAATACAGCACATTAAATGAACGATTTTATTTAACTTTTAATTTTCAAAACTTATTTATTTTTAATGTTTATTTATTTATGTATTTATTCTATGCTTTTCGAAACTTCCAATTAACAATTTTCATTAACCACTTTCACTTTCTATATGTAACTTATGTTCTTTTTTCAGGATAGATCGCAGCCATGGAAAGGGACTCCGTCCAGGATCGTCGCGGGAGTCGGGAGTGATGGGGTGCGGAAGGGACGCGATGTGGGAATCGCGAAGTGGGGAAATGGCGGCATGGGGAGGTCGCGGGGTGCATCCGTAGCGGAGTGTTGGGACCGTGAAGTGTAGAAGTGGCGATATTTCTACCCTTCATGATCTCCACACCCCGTTATGTATGTACCGCACTACCTTCACATTCCACTGTTTCTACCACTTCGCAATTTCTTCATCCCGTAACTTCCGCACCTCTCGGGTCGTGTCGCGAGTGCGTCGAGGGGTACGGGGACCTCGCGGGGGACGGAAGTGGCGGGGATCGGGAGTGACGAGGTGAGGAAGTGAAGGGATGCGGGAATCGCGACGTGGGGGTGGCGGAACGGGACTCGCGGGGTGCACGGGTAGCGGAGTGGGGGGATCGTGAAGTGTATAAGTGGCAACACTTATACACTTCATAATCTCTTCACCCCGTTACCTATGCATCACGCAAGCCCCCGTCCCGCTACTTACCACTTAGCAATTCCAACATCCCCTTACTTCCTGACCTCGTGACTTCTGCATCCCCCAAACCTCCATCCTCCGCGAATGTCTCAGGGGGGACCCCCGTCCTCCGAAAACTACACATATATCTCAGGGGGGACCCCCAACCCTCGAAAAATTTAAAAATACAAAATAAGACACCTGGTAGACGTGAAAAATTTATTTTTTAAAAAATAAAGGTAGTACATGGGTATTTTAAGTTGCCAGTAGT